GTTGATCATTCAGATCAACGACCACCATTCACCCTTCTATAATTAAACCCAAATGACCCCTTAACCTAATTCATTTCTCACCACCCGCCGCCCTTGAATCCCTCTCCTCTCAATTCTCTCTACAACCTCACATAAACCCTAGCTGCCACCACCCATGTCCACCATAATAACTTGCAATCCCTACTAAATTCATGGGCTCCCATGGCCATTTGAGGCGTGTACTCGTCTCCTATGTCTGCTGGTTACCTATTTTCGTGATTCCATGGATAGATCTCAAAGGGATCTAGTCCAGTCTTGGTTCAACTTCTATCTATCGCCTTCCTCTGACCATCCATGGATGTTCGAGTTAGATCCTTGACTATTCTGGCTAGATCGGTAACTTTTCAAAGTCTTTCTCACTTTCTCTGGGTTCTCTGAAACCCTATCTCTAAGAGTTTTTCGATTTTTCTTTTAGATCTGTTTTAGATCTGTACGTGTTATAAACTTCTTGATGTTTTTCAAAAAGCGTTTTCGATTTTCTTTCAAAGTGACTCTTCATTTTCAAACTAGAGTTTCTTACACTCTTTTCAAAGATCTTTTCTCCGATTTTTCAGAAATGTTTTACTTTGTTTAAACGATTTGCTTATATTTTTTCTTCCATCTGGTTCCTCGTGTTAACAACTCTAAGTGTTTTGGTTTATCTGAGTTCTGAAGATGCCTTTGTTTGTCTGTGTTCGACTTATCTGATTCTGAGTTCTTACTATTGTGGAAACCCTAATTTCTTAAAAGGTTTTCCTCACTTGTTATTGTGAGATCTTTAGTTTTTTCTGACTCTCTTTACTTGTTGGACTGATTTCTTCACTTTGGCTCTACGTGTGAGCCCTGACTATTTGGCTTGGTTGACTACTGAGCCCTAGCTTACTCTTGTTACTGCTGCATGTTTGTATGCATCCAGTTGTTTTTTTTGCCAATGTGTTTTGCATGTCTGATATTTCTGTTCATTCTATTTATATGCTGAAGTGCAGAGTCATGATTCTTTCTCTATTATTCTTGATTTCCTCTAAATTACAACTGATTGCAAAGGATTCTCTTATAAACCCTAATTTTTACTCATTCGTTTAAAATTGATTGATTCCCTTCCTTAATTACTGTGATGTTTTACCTTGCTGAATCCTTTCCCAAAATTAAGCATATTTTGTAATTAGACTCAATTATTTACTAATTCATACTTTTACTACCCCTTTATATGGCAAGAATCAATCTGTCACAAACTGATTTCTTTCATTTATTTGACCTTGTTAGTATCCGTTTGAGCAGTAATTCCCTAATTAAAGGGAAGTACTTGTATTGATTGATTCTGATTATAATTGTTTGCATGTCTGTATTAAAACCTTACTTTTTACCTTATTCTTTACTCATTTTCAAAATTATAAATACCCTATGCTTTCTTCTCTAAAGACGAAAAATTTGAGTTCAGAACACACACCTACACTCAAAACTCTCTCTCTCTCTCTCTCTACTACTACTTGTGCTACTGCTTTATCTAGACGGCTGAAAGCCAAGACTAGATTGTGGAATCCTTCTTACTTTTCCTTTCTACATTTTTCTTCTCTACTGGTATGTCCTAATTTTTTAAAGCCTCAACAACAACATGTTTCTTTAGTTTCTCTCACTCTTGCCTACTTCTGCTTATCTTTCTGCAGTCAAGTTACATTATTAGCATGCTGTAATATGCTCCCTTCCCCCTTAGATTAATGCTCCCCTATGTGTGTGCTCTGTCACTCACTTGTTGTGTACTCGCTGTCTTATGAATCCCAAACCCCTATATCCCCTCTATGTGTTTGTGTTCTTTTAGCTGGTTTGTGACCATGCCAGCATCAGCTATTGTTGTGCATGACCAAACCAGACCCCTGTGGGGGTCATGTGCTTATAGAAAATATATATCTCCAAAATCCCTTAACCCCTTTGTATGACTATTGATTCTGTGTAGTTGTGAGTTTTACTACTGCAATTGATTTCAATCACCCCTGTTACTAATTGCTTTAAAAATGGACTATCAGTCCAGTTTTTTAAATAAATCTCTTTCAATATGTGTTCTGCACTTCCACTATATTCTTAGAATCTAAGTTCTGCCCCTCTTGTGTGAGCCTTACCTTGGGACCCTTGAGCTCCCTCTGAACTTGGACTTATAAGGGCTGGCCCTTCCACACTGCACTCATTCTGTCTAGTTATGCAAATCTGGGTGTGAGCACTGCCCGGGATCCCTTGAGGTCCTTAGGGAACTTTGACACACCCAGGTATGAGAAAGACTTTGAATTATTGGCATTGAAGTGGTTCATTACATAACTCAGAGAGGAAGTCAAGATCAGGCTTCCTTTGGTTGTAATTTCTTATTTCTGCACTTCTTTTGTAATTCAATCATTTGGTCGGTAATAATTTGTAAACAATGTAGGGGTGATTAGTGAAAAAGGGTGGGTAGCTGTGTATTGTGGGTAAACTGGGTAGATAACATGCCTATAGGGTCTATTTTGATTCAAATATGGTCTGTTAGATAACATGCCTATAGGATCTGCTCTAGTTTAAAATAAATTCTGCATGTTTACTTTCACACAATTAGAAACCATGTATATAGGATCTAAATGGATTTAATAATAGAGATCATGACTATAGGGTTAAAATCAACTTTATAATTAGATATCATGCCTATAGGGTGTAAAGTAGTTGAAGTTCAGTTTTCATTACAGCATGTATTCAGATTCGTCTCCCTGGAAATAATGCCTATAAGTCCAAAGTCAGCTTTTAATATTTAGATACCATGCCTATAGTATCTAAATAGCTATAATAGAAATCATGCCTGTAGAACTTAAAACCAGTGTAGTTGGAGAAGTCGTTTAGTTCACGTTGTTTATTCTGAATTGGATTAGTTAATTAATCTGTCGCTTCTTTAATAAGTCTTCAAATACTGCCTCAAATTAATACCATTAGAAAGCGTGTCTATAGGATCTCAAGTTGTCCATTTAAAATTAATCACTGCTCTACTGCATTCCTAATCAATATAGACACCATGCTCATAGGACATCACAACTATGCCTAGGCAAGCCTTAGGTAATTACTCGAATAAAATTGGAATCTGCCTTTGTTTAATTACCAACTGCTACAACCAGCAGGCAGGCCTGATTCAGACTTCTTTTCTGAGTTATATAATGAATCTGGTTCTGACTCAAACTCTGCTTTAAGATTTTTTTAAAAATTCAAACCTTAACTGCGTTTAAGTCATGCTATTTATATGCATTGTTTATGGAGGTATACATGAGCCTTTTAATTGTCTATATGTTCCCCTCTCAAGATGTAGTCCTACGTGTTTTTGTATGTCGCATTAGCCTTTTTACCTTTAAACCTAAGGGTCAGCCTAAACCCTCCCTCTTATAGGAATAGTAGTCCTAAATTCTTCTGGGACTGATAGGAATGGGACGGGTAGTAGCATGCAATAGAGGTCAAGACTAATCCGCGCTTTAATACCTTCACGGGGTGGGAAGGGTAGATATGGATATGATGATCGGTGCGCTAATACCACGTGTATCCCCTCTTCTGAGGAGTGTCATACCGGGTATTGCATTGAGGTGATCCATATTACAAATAAACCTAGGACCCCCCTTTTATTTTTTACAAGTATGTCTAGCTTATAACTCTTTTCCAAAGCCCTGCCTTTCAATAATTGTTTGCACTTGTGTATTTAGACTTAAATCCCCTATTACTTGAGCCTTTATTTGTTTACTTGCTAATTGCACAAATTCACAAAAACTATCTGGCCGAGAACCACACTAGTGGATCCTGAGGGGTGCCTAACACCTTCCCCTTAGGATAATTTCAAGCCCGCTCTAGTTATCAAACATAGTTGTAGTTGAACCTTATAGGTGCCCTAACGCACCTTAAAATCGTTAGGTGGCGACTCTTCAAAACACCCAATTCCCTAAAGTGAAATGAGTCATTACACCCCCATGAATGTCAAAACATGGACTCCTCTCCGACGGAGGAGGGAAAACGGGGGGCGCGACAGTGAGGTTTCTCGCTTTTCATCTAATAGTTTGAGGTCCGTAGTCATGGCCTCGTTGTTCGAGCTCTCCATAGTGTGTCAGAATCTGGCGCTTGGCTCTCCGACCTCCACTAGTATCAAAGCCTCGGCACCATATACTAGAGAGAAAGTTGTTTCCCCTATGCTTGATTTTGGAGTTGTTCGATATGCCCATAGCACTTCGGGCAATATTTCTCTCCACTTTCCCTTAGCGCTTTCCAACTTCTTTTTTAAGTTTTGGGTGATGGTTTTGTTTGTAGACTCGGCCTGACCGTTTGTACATGAGTGGTAGGGCGTCGACAGAATCCTCTTGATTTTGTGATCCTCGAGGAATTGTGCTACTTTTCTTCTGATGAACTGCCTCCCATTATCGCAAGTTATCTCGGAAGGAATCCCGAATCGGCACATAATGTGGTCCCAGATGAAGTCAATGACTTCTTTTTCCCTTATCTTTTCGAAGGCCTGCGCTTCTACCCATTTTGAGAAATAGTCAGTCATAAATAAAATAAATTTAGCTTTACCTGGCGCCGTTGGTAGGGATCCGACGATGTCCATTCCCCATTTCATGATCGGCCACGATGATAAAACCGAATGTAGTTGTTCGCCGGGTTGGTGAATCATAGGGGCAAATCTCTAGCATTTGTCACACTTTCGAACGAACTCCTTGGTGTCTTTTTCCATGTTGTCCCAGTAGTAGCCTGCCCCTAATAACCTTTTGGACTAAGGAATCGGCGCCGGAGTGGTTTCTGTAAGTACCCTCGTGAATTTTGTGAAGTACATAATCTGTGTCCCAGGCACACTGTTAGGGGCAATCGAAAGTTCTTCTATACAGAGTTCCATTTTCATCGAGCGAGAATCGGGATGCTTTGGTTCGCAGGGCCCTAGATTCCTTTGGATCTGTGGGTAATTTCCCGTCTTTCAAATATTCAATATTTTTATTTCTCTAATCTCATGTTAGGCTAGTAGAATTAATCTCGGCATGACCTTCCTCAACCACTAATTTGGATAGCTGAACAACAGTGCCGGGGAGTAGTCCATCTTCTTCAACAGATGATCCCAAGTTTGCGAGGGCATCGGCCTCGCTGTTCTGCTCCCGAGGTATGTGGATCAGGTTCCTTTCTTTGAAACAGCATAATGTGGCTTGGATTTTGTCCAAGTATCTTTGCATCCTGTCTTCTCGGACCTCGTAGCTCCCATTTAACTGATTTACTAGCAGGAGTGAATCGCATTTTGCTTCAACAATCTCGGCTCCCTAGCTCTTAGCCAATTCCAGACCTGCAATCATAGCCTCATACTCGGCTTCATTGTTAGTAAATCTTGCAATTTTTACGGATTGCCTGATTATGCCACCCGTAGGCGGCTTCAGGACTATACCGAGTCCAGATCCTCTTACATTCGTGGCGTTGTCAGTGAACAGGGTCCATACCCCGGAAGATGTGCCTGATTTTAGTAAAAGTTCCTTCTATACCTCGGGCACGAGGAAGGGCGAGAAGTCGGCCACGAAGTCCGCCAGAATATGGGACTTGATGGTCGTTCGGGGTTGAAACTTGATATCATACCCCCCGAGTTCGATGGCCTATTTAGCCAATCAGCCCGATAGTTCGGACTTATACAATATGCTTCGGAGAGGGTATATTGTTAAAATGCAAATACGGTGGCATTGAAAATATGGTTTCAATTTTCGTGATGCGCTTATTAATGCAAGATCTAATTTTTCTAGGTGCAGATACCTGGTTTCGCCATCTCCTAGGGTCCGACTTACATAATAAATAGGGAATTGCATACCTTGCTCTTCTCGAACTACCACACCTCTTACCACTATCTCGAATACGGGCAGGTATAAATACATCATTTTATCATCTTTTGGTGTGTGGAGCAAAGGCGGACTAGTCAGATATCGTTTCAATTCCTCTAAGGCATGTTGGCATTCTGGAGTCCATTCGAAGTTGTTTTTCTTTTTGAGTAAAGAGAGGAAATGATGACTCCTGTCTAATGACCTTGATATGAATCTGCCCAGAGCCGCTATCCGCCTTGTCAGCCGTTGCACGACCTTTACATTATTTATCACCGCGATTTCTTCGATGGCCTTGATTTTGTCGGGGTTGATCTCGATTCCCCTGTTCGATACCATGAAGCCTAAGAATTTGCCCAAACCAACTTCTAAGGCACATTTCTTGGGGTTAAGCATCATGTTGTAACTTTTGAGAATGTCAAATGTTTCCTGCAAATGAGTCAAATGGTCCTCTGCGCGCAGGGACTTAACTAGCATGTCATCAATATAAACTTCCATGGATTTGCCTATTTGATTCTTGAACATTTTATTAACTAGACGTTGGTACGTAGCCCCAGCGTTTTTCAGTCCGAAAGGCATTACATTGTAATAGTAGGTACCATACTTCGTAATGAATAAAGTCTTTTCCCTATCCTCGAGGTTCATCTGAATTTGATTATACCCCGAGTAGGCGTCGAGAAAGGTGAGGGTCTCGTGGCTGTCTGTGGCATTGATCAGACGATCGATGTTCGGAAACGAGAACGAATTCTTGGGGTATGCCTTATCTAAGTCTTTATAATCTACGCATATTCTTAACTTATTTCCCTTTTGGGCACTACTACTACGTTGGCCAACCATTCGGGGTACTTTACCTCTCTAATAGACTCTATTTTAAGGAGTTTTGTTACCTTGTCCTTGATGAATGCGTGTTTTACTTCGGACTGGGGTCTTCTTTTTTGCTTCACCGGTTTAAACCTGGGGTTGACACTCAATCGGTGTGTGGTTATTTTCGATGGGATTCCTGTCATATCTAAGTGGGACCAAACGAAACAGTCGATGTTATTAATAAGGAATTGAATGAGTTTTTTCCTGAGTTCGGGGGTTAATCTCGTTCCCAGGTATACCTTCAATTGTCAATTTCGTTGCATCCGACTCTTCAGGGGAAACGAAAGTTCGAGGAGCGAGAAAATCTTCTTCATCATCCTCGGGGGTCTGTACGCTCCCAGACTCATCCGAGGTAGGGTGTATAGGATTTGGCACCTCCTAGTAAACTGCGAACATTTCTTTTGCCACATGTTGTTCTCCATATACGGTTGTTATACCATCCTTTGTTGGAAACTTCATCATCTAGTGTAGAGTTGACGGCACTGCCCTCATGCTGTGTATCCACGGCCTGCCAAGCAATGTGTTGTACCTCATGTCACCGCCGATGACGTGGAACTTAGTGTTCTAATCTATACCGGACATGTCAACCAGGAGGGCGATCTCCCCTTTCATTACTTCGCCGGCCATATTGAAGTCGTGGATGACCCGTGAGACGGGTACGATCTGATCGAGCAAGCCAAGCTGTTCTACTACCTTTGACCTAATTACGTTGGTCGAGCTACCTGGGTCCACGAGCACACGTTTAATTTGAATGTTACTTAAAAGAAATGAAATTACCAGTGCGTCATTGTGTGGTTACGTCAAGGTCTTGATATCCTCCTCGCTGGATGCAAGGGTGTCTTCGGTCATGCGGTCTCGGATCGACCCTTCTATTGCAGCAGATATTTTTATCCATTTGATCATGGGTCCTTGGGGAATGTCAGTCCCCCCAATGATCATATGAACGACATGCTGAGGAATCTCTCGTTTTTCCCAGGTTGGATTTTCCGTGTTTCCCACTGAATCTCTCGGTGTGCTCCTTTGTTAATGTGAGGACCGACATTAACGTATTGGGCGTCGCATGAGGTTATACCTTGGGAATCGGTTCTGGTGTACTCTCAGGGTTTTGCGGTGGCACACCCATACCTGGAATAGTCATACCGCCCTTTCCATAGTTTTTGAGGCTGTTATTTTCAGGTACATTTACTTGTTTAGGCATCTTGACCTGAAATCAAAGATTATTGGACAAGAAATAGTGTGAAAGGTAACTTGCGTTATGTAGTTAAACCACCAAGAAAATAATCACTATTATTTTTAGCCTCACGGTGGGCACCAAACTATTTACCGTGAAAATGGTAATAACAATTAAATTTGATTTTATGGTTCTAAAAATACGTGATCTATTTTTATGCTAGTTGTTAGGAAATGGATGCTAAGTAAAAGGTTAGAAAATAAGATTATAGCTTAGAGACGATGTGATAATCGAACCTAGCGCCCGGAGGTCGGGGCCTCGAGCTGCTGTATATGAGGCTTCGAGGTCGAGTCTAGAGGCCGGCTTAGGGCAACCGAGGGAGGACTAACAGTTATGAGAGTTAGAATAATGGCTCTTTATGATCAATGATAAGCAATAAATGATGAACAATAATAAAACACAATGAATGTAAGCAATAAATAGAAGCAATGAGATCAAGAGAATATGTTAGAAAGCAGAGAGAATATTTTTGTATTTTTAGTATTGAGCAACAAATCCCTACAAAATGACAAGGATCCCCTTTATATATGAGGGAGAATCCTAACATAGTACAAATGTATTTATTACAAAGACATGGGGCTGGTACAACCATTCAATGTCATGGTACGGATTTGGACTAGCCTAATAGACCTTGTCAGCTCTAGTCACATGCCTTGGGGACCTCACTTTTCCACCATAACCATTGGTCTGCATTGCCTCGAGGTCGAGCGTCGATAGCCCTCGGGGGGTGAATCCCGACCATAGTCTCGAACCTTTGAAATGTGCTTACGAGGCATCGCAACGACGGAAAATTGGATCCTCCGATTTTACCGCATACAATTCAATCTTTCTTAGATTTGTTTATTATGTTTTAAACAAATTTTAACCATAAACATTGGTTAAAGAAAATTATTTGTGTAGGTATGTTGAATGCTATATATTATTGATAACTTTTAGTTAGCAAAACGATTAATTTGGTACATTCCTAGCCTATTGGTGTCTCTTAAGTTGTTATATGTCCAAATTGGAGGTCTATTAGTGAGGAGGGCAAATGTAATCCATTGGGCTAGCGGACGGGGGCTTATTTGGGTCAAAATTCAAACGGAGGATATAGTTGTCCTTTTCTAATATATTTGATTTAAAATGATGACCATATAAAAAATAGCTTTGGTTTGCCTACCTTGCGAATAAATTGATATGCACCTATATCCGAAACAATACTAGTATCTTGGATCAAATATACATTCAATTTGAGAAGCTAAGAGAATACTGATAACCCCATCTAATTTGATGAATTGTAGTCGGAACAATACTATCTTGGATCAAATCATGCACGAAAATTAACATAAAATAAGCTCAGAATTTTCTAGTACACTGATATAACAAATTTTGAAATGCATATCTCAATGTCAAATAAATCTGAAAAGGAAAGGCACAATAGAAAGATTAGCAAACTGAAAGTGGAAAATACCATTGCAACATTAAACACAAAGAGTTTATACAATCTATTTTGTTTATGTGTAAAAATTATCCTACTCATGTTAAATTTAAAAAGTATTAAGAATATCCAAATTTGAAGAACCAACAGGTTTTATATTTCCAACTTGAGCTAGCTATGAAATGTATCCATTTATCTTTATATATAAGGGAAAAGTAAGAATGGGAATGCTTGATCTGGCTTGGGATTTGACTCATTTTGAAGTCCTACTATAGCAATTCTACAGAATTCGGTCTACACAGGCATATTCAAAGTTGTCAAATTCAACCATTGGAAGTTATTAGACCAGTCACGATTTTCATGGAATACCGTCTTATAATTAACAACACTAGGAACTAACGCTATGCCTTCAGTTGTTGCTACCTAGGATGGGAGCAACAATATCATATCTTTTTTAAAAACCTAAAGCGCTCTCTCCAGAATTCAGAGAGAGTCTGCAACAATGATAAGTTGTTGGCCGGTCGTAGCAGGTAATCTTTCTTATTTTTAGGAGAAAGACACTTGGGTTGTAGCCGGATAAGGCTTACTTTAACTAGTTTTAATTTCAAATGTGCAGCTGAGAGAGCTATTGATCCGTCCTGAGAAATCATAGGACTGTCACTAGAGTATATATCGCTGGAAGATATCCTCACCAACATAGCATTTTCGTTTTATTCACAAATTACAAGTATGTTTGTTGATGTAAGACTAGACATTGCACTCCCTCAAAAATTGGGGTATCTGTAGCTTTGAAGAATGTTGTAGACCTCCTTCACTGACGGCCTACCAGATAGTGATGCTCCAGTAAAAATCGATCGTTCTTTTAAAAACACCGATGATTTGTTCCAAATTACTTGTTTCCGTTGTTTCTTCATCGAGAGCCTCAAGAATGGAATTTCGCTCTCGGAAACGCTGTTGAGACCATTGTGCTAGATTCATTGATTCGTTGATATTCGGCCAAAATACATATATTTATTCATTGTTGCCTCATATACTAGTACTTTTTAATCATCTTTTGAGTATTAGTTATATTGTTTTGTGCTTAATATTATATTTTAATTGTATATGAATAAAACGGTATGAAAATGAAGAGATTTGAAACAAAATTAAATAAAACGCGGAAGAAAAAGAAATAAAAATAAATGTATTAAAAAAGGGGGACACCCTTTATCTTTTTGTCCCCCAAGTAAGACAAACAAAGAATGATGTCCAATTCAAAGCAAGCTACGACATTAAAAATTGCAAATCGCCTTCTGCTTTCAGCGCCAGGTCCAGCGCTGGACGCTGTGTTGTGCGGTTTTTCTAATTCCGGGCCCACGTGTAAAAATCCGAGGTTCGAACCAAAACCCGATTATCCATTACCCCACGAGTTCAAATATGTAATTTGTTTTGAAATCGGAGAGCCTAGTAATTATGCCACGAGATGGCTTGATATTTCGCTTGGGTCGTAAGGGGTCTTTCCAGGAGTCTACATACCTCCTGTGAACGTGGGTACCCATTGTGATGTGAGATATAGCCCGAGGGGCTGGTATAGTTTCGGCGATATTGCCCGATGGGCGAATTTGTTGACATTGTGTCTGAGGGACGATCCTTTATGTGTTTATCTTTCCTATTTGCTTGTCATTTACTTGTTTAATTGTTAAAAAAGGCATTTTATGAAGTTTAAACCTGAATTCAAGTCTGGGATAAAGTTATTTCGGCTCTACACAGTCCTAAATTGTATAAAAGGAGTCCTAAACCTAATTTGGAGGAGATCTAACAGATTTTGAAGGAGAATTCACGTGGAGCAACACACACCATGCTTGGAAAAGGCTTCTACCTAATTTTTCTTCTCTTCTCATCCTTTAATTTCATCGTTCATTAGTTCTAGAGTTTTGGGTGCTACATAAATGTTGTAGTTTGAAGCTTGAATTGCTCTTATAATTTTATCATATTAGTTTATTTATTCAATCTTGCGCTTAATTATTTGATTGCTTGATCACCAATTGAATACTATCTACGAATCTAGGATTGAACTCGGGAGAGGGAATTCTAGATTGCATATAAGATTGAGTAGAGCAAGGTCTTAACTTTGGGGGGAGGGAATTTGCGGTTAGGATAGGAATATACCTAATCGCCTTGCTTGGTTATTATACGAGAATTATAAATGTGTTCTTGTTAAGCCTAATTCCATAGGAATATAGGCGTTAGGTTAGCTTGAATAAACGAGTTATACTTCGGGAGAATGCTACGAGCAATATTAACCCCGTCAATCAATAAACTAGATAAATTAGTTAGACAATTTAGGTAGAAAACTTAACGGGATTGTTAGCTAACCCATAGCTCTAGAATATTCACTCACGTTGAATTCATCTTTAAGTTTGTCGTTGTTTTCTTTAATCTCTTAATTTGTTACTCTAGATTAATTTAGTTAAATATTCATCCGTTAAGATTCGCTTGAATAGATTAATTATTTAGTCTTTAGTTGATAGTTAATCACAAGTCCCTATGGGTACGATATCTGGACTTACAATCCTGTATTACTTGTCGACCACTTATACTTGCGTGTGCGTTTGGGAGCAACAAGTTTTTGGCGCCGTTTCCGCGGACTTAGAAATTAACCATTCTACTAGATTGGATTTTTACTTTTTGCCTATTCAAGTTTTTATTTATTTTATTTTTAACTTATTTATATTTTATTATCTTTGTTGACATGGCATAATGATAATTTGTCGAATATTGGTTATTCTTATTATGGTGATCCTTGTCCATATTGTAGAGGACCACACTTAGGGCAAAATTGTGCATCTCAATCTTATGGGTGGAATATTTGTAATGTGTGTGATTGTCAAGGTGGTCATTGGGATAATTGTCCTAATTCTTATTATCCTTCTCAGAGTTCTTATTATAACGTTTCTAATAATATTTATGAGTTTGATATGAGCAATAAAGTGGAGGATATGAAAAGCGTGGTTCGTATTATGGACATGATGAGGCAAGTAGCCGAGCAACAAGACATGATGATGAGGAAGTAGCCGAGTAACAAGATGAAAATCGAAAGGTTATACAAAGAATTAGTGCAACATTCATGAGAATGAAAGCCGACGCGGAGGAAGTGGCTAAAGAGAGCGAGTTCCCACCAGAAGATAATTTAGAAGAAGCAGATATAGTCAGCCAATCTTGGCTAGAGGAACAAGCTGAACTGATAAAATCTCATGAGTTTCTCCGTGATGGTCTTTCAAATATTATAAAACAGCTGATAGACGAAAGAACTGAGCTCAGACAAGAGATAGACCAATTTGGCTTAGATATTCATGACTTGCATGATCAATTGAATAAAAAGGTTAAGGCGCCTGATGCCCTACAATCAATTTTTGTGGATACTGGCCAGCTTGAGGAGCGGAAAGAGGAACTTCAACTATTCAACCAAAATATTATTAATGATACCAAGGTTGACGAAGAGTGCAAAATTGAGGATGTCAAAAATAATACAATTTTGGAGTTGGAGCGTATTGGGCCTCATTCTAAACACTTTTCAATATTGTGTTTGGTTGGTGATATGGGAATTGATCCAGTCGAGCATATGGAGGAGTCAATGGATGAGGAACAAAATGTTTATATTCTGAAATTTGTCATACCAAGGAGGCAAAACGATATTCCTCACTTAAGGGCCAAGAAGTGCAAGATGCGATATCTATTGTTTGGCTCCTTTATTTTTACACCACCGCCCATGGAACGTGACAGAAAAATTGATGCAAAATTGGGGGCGCAATTCATATCTTCAAAGTGGAAGGAAAAGTGGTGAAAGTGATGGCGTCGTATCGCGACGTTAAATCAAGCGCTTGTTGGGAGGCAACCCAATTTTATTATTATTTTTTTACTCTTGCTTATTTTTTTTAATTGTGTTATATTTGTAGTGTTATTTTTATGTTTTTTAGGAGCGTGGAATCAAATCCAATAGGCATGTGCAAAAGCGAGCAGGTAGTTGAAACTAAGTGTGAGGTACCCGCACAAGGGATCATACCTGGGAGAAGTCTGAGTATCCCGTGAGCTGCTAATTCTTCGGCCTTTGGCCTACCAGGGAGTCTCTTTTACCCTATTGTTATTTTCAGTGTGCATTGAGAACATTACACAATTTTAAGTGTGGGGTGAGGAGATTGTCTGGGTAATTTTCTGTGCTATCTTAGCTTAGTTGTAATACTCGTTCTTAGTGTAGTAGTTTTTGTTAAAAAAATAAACAAAATAAAAAAATGGAAAAAAAATTAGAAAATTGGGACTTTTCCTGATAATGAATTTTGTGGACAGCTTTCTTGAGGGATTAAGATCCAATAAAATAAAAAAATATTTTCTTTTTTTTTTCTAGTTAGTTTTAGTTAGGTAATTATCCCCCTTGATTTTTCTTTGTGCAACGGTTCTTTTCCAGGGGATGTAACTTGAACCGGGTAATTTTTTTTTATTTTTTAGGAATAGATTAAATTTTTTTTCTTTATTTTACGAGTAGAAAAAGAGAGAGAAGAAAAACTTTTGCTACTTGTTTGATACTAGCATATTTAGGCCTGAGCTTGAGTAGTATTTTCCTCTGAGTGCTTGAGTAATGAATAAAATAGCAGACTTTCTGACACCCAAGCTCAGGGTTGTGACTCTGTATATAACATATTCTTATTTTATGGTTCGCGATGATCTTGTCTGTCCTAGATGGGAATTGATCCATCTTGATTGATATTTGTGCCATGTGGGGTGATGATTACTTACATATATTTCATGTTTTGCATCTTAGTCTAGAACTTGCACTGCATGTTATTGAAGCGAAATAAAAGTGTTGCTTTGTTTAGAAGATGATAATAGGCTTTCTTTGATATGTCTTATAAATTTTAACATGTTCAGATATTATACCACTAGCTAGCCCTTTGAGCTTGTAGCCTTTTGTTTGGAAGCCGTATTTTTGCCTTGATCCTTTTATTGAATCCCTAGTTTTTGCACCCTGCTTCCTTGAGCACTGTTGCTTAGACCATGATATTAATTAATAAATTTAAAGAATGGGATGGTTAAGTGAAAAATGGTGACCAATGATGGATGAAAGGTGATGAAAAGGCATTCTTTAGAAGGAATGTGACATCAAAAAGAAAGAAAAAAGAGAATGAAAAAAAAATTGCTTTGAAAAAATATATGACTGAAACGTTCTTGATATGAGGGAAATACTTGTGAAACAATAGATGAAGAGAGGGCTGAAAAATAAAGTGAAGAGTAGAAAATAATGGATGATGAAGTCTAAAATTGCAAGTGCTTAGGGAAGTGTAAGTCACTATTATATAGTTCTTCTACTCGTCTCCTAGCCAACATTACAACCCGTATAAGTCCTATTAGATTCTATTCGAGCATACTTAATTAGTAGGGATGTACATAATGGACATGCCTATGGTTATTTGTGCATACATGTGAATTTGTTTGTGAGTGCGAGAGTTGTTCTTTGATGCTAGGTCCTTAAATTATATTCATTATTTGATTTGAGTGTATGAACTATTTATTCTTGTGAGGACACTTGTTTCATAATGGATAGATGATGTTATTAGCTTTATTTGACAAAGTAGGTGAGCGAGCTTAAATTTGGTGAGTTAGAGTCCCTCTCTGAGGTTAAGAGGTTAGAAGTTTGTTGTTTGTTTGTGACTTGTATATCTTGCACGATGATAAGAAAGTGTATATCTGATGGTTTAAGTTGCTATATGGCCTAATTGTTAGTATCTACCAAAGTGGTGGTGTTTCTAGGCTTGATTTATTGAGAGTGGTTCTAATACTTACTCGAGGACGAGCAAGAGTCTAAGTGTGAGGTGTTGATATTCGGCCAAATATACATATATTTATCCATTGTTGCCTCACATTCTAGTACTTTTAATCATTTTTTGAGTATTAGTTATATTGTTTTGTGCTCAATATTATATTTTAATTGTATAGAACTAAAGCGGTATGAAGATGAAAAAATTTGGAGCAAAATTAAATAAAATACGGAAGAAAAAAAAAGAAAATTAAATGAATTAAAAAAGGGGGGACACCTTTTGTCTTTTTGTCCCCCAAGTTGAAGACAGGCAAAGAATGAAGTCCAATTCAAAGCAAGCTAGGACGTTAAAAATTGCAAATCGCTTTCTGCTTTCAGCGCCAGGTGCCCAGGTCCAGCGCTGACCTATTGCGCGGGTTTTTCTAATTCGCCTGGGACAAGATTATTTCGGCCCTATACGATCTCAATTTGTATAAAAGAAGTTCTAAACCTAATTTGGAGGAGATCTAACGATCTAACAAACTTTGAAGGAGAATTCACGTGGGCAACATATACCACACTTGGAAGAGGCTTCTACCTAGTTTTTCTTCTCTTCTTTTCCTTTAATTTCATAGTTCATTAGTTCTAGAGTTTTGGATGTTACATGAACGTTGTAGTTTGAAGCTTAAATTGTTCTTACAATTTTATCATATTGGTTTATTTATTCAATCTTGCGCTTAATTATTTGATTGCTTGATCACCAATTGAATACTATCTACGAATCTAGGATTGAACTCGGGAGAGGGAATTCTAGATTGCATATAAGATTGAGTAGAGCAAGATCTTAACTCTGGAGGGGGGCGGGGCGGATTTGCGGTTAGGATATGAATATACCTAATCGCCTTGCTTGGTTATTATACGGGAATTATAAATGTGTTCTTGTTAAGCATAATTCCATAGGAATATAGGCGTTAGGTTAGCTTGAATAGGCGAGTTGTACTTCGGGAGAATGCTACGAGCAATATTAACCCTGTCAATCAATAAACTAGATAAATTAATTAGACAATTTAGGTAGAAAACTCAATGGGATTGTTAGCTAACCCATAGCTCTAGAATATTCACTCACGTTGAATTCGTCTTTAAGTTTGTCGCTGTTTTCTTTAATCTCTTAATTTGTTACTCTAGATTAATTTTAGTTAAATATTCATCCGTTAAGATTCGCTTGAATAGATTAATTATTTAGTCTAATTTAGTTGATAGTTAATCACAAGTCCCTATGGGTACGATATCTGGACTTACAATCCTGTATTACTTGTCGACCACTTATACTTGCGTGTGCGTTTGGGAGCAACATTCTTCCCTGAGAATTGGTTGTCAATTCTAAAAACACCACTCCGAAGCTATAGCTATCAGTCTTTACATTCACTTTGATTGTCAAGGCATACTCTGTTAGGATCAAACATTAAAATTTAATAAGTATACATTAGTGTTGGATAAATTCTTTTGAAAAATTCAAGAGGTAAAAATAGACATTTAAACTGTAGTATGCCTGGGGCTATATAACCAAAAGTTCCAGCAATAGCAGAAGCTGTCTCAGGATCATCATCGCTCTTGGCTAGCATTTTTGAGAGTCCAAAATCTGCTATTTTTGCATTGAATTCCGAGTCCAGAAGGATATTGCTCGACTTAATGTCTCTGTGAAGTGTGAAGGATGGGTCGAGTGCAATCATGGTGCATATAGCAGAGTCCTTAAGCTGCATCAATGGCTATTTTTAGTCTCTTGCGCCAATCCAGGGCTGTTTCCTTTCTGTGAAGCCATTTGTCCAGGCTTTGTTTTCTCATGGTATTCATAGACTAGAAGGTTTCTGTCCGCACTCGAGATGCAACAGACGAGCTTGATTGTGACAAATGCTACCAAGTATTCTAAGGATGTTTTTGCCATTCCCTATGATTTTAACAGCAAATTAAAAGTACTATTGCCTGTTTAGTCGATCAAAGCTCGGTAGACCTTTCCCTGATCCTCCATAAGTATTTCTATATATACTTATCGAAATGTCTCATGTTAACTGATTACGAGACAAAATCTAAAGCGTGCAATCCAGGTCAATCCCAGTCAGTGGCGAAGCCACATAGTGATAAGGGTGGTCAACTGATCACCCTTCGTCGAAAAATTGTACTGTGTATATAGGTAAAATATTACGTTTTAGAGGTATATAACACATATCGAATACCCTTTGTCGGAAAGTTTTTTCACTTTTTTTAAATTTAAACACCCTTAGGAAAATTCCTAGCTTCGCCACTGATCCCAGTATAGAGCCACTCAATTGGATATTAGAAAGATTCATATCATACAAACTAAACAAGTCCATAGCATTAGGTATCGCACTGGAATAGTAGCTAGAACTAAAGTGACAAGTGACGCAAACAATGTAACTGGAACAAGTGATTTGTAATTGAACCATTTAGAGAATTATTAGGTTCAATATTCACAAGATATTTGAAGTTCCCAATATATTCTGGATCAAACCGTTCAATTAGTTCTCAGAAAGATCAGGATTTTTCAGTTGAGATGCTGATATTTGTTTTGGTATCTCACCAAACAACATGTTACCATTAAGATACAAATTGATTAATTTTTTCATCCCAAATAACTCACGTGGAGTCTGGTCCCTCAAAGAATTCTTGGACAAGTCCAAATTTTGTAGCTCTACACACAGAAGGGACCGGAAAATCGCACCAAACCGAAAAGTCAAACTAACCGATTAAAAAATTTGATTAAATTTGGTTTGATTTGATTTGGTATTGAGTAAAAAAACCTGAACCAAACCGACATATAAATATATATTTTTTATATATACTTTTAAGATCTTATACAGAATGTTCTTTAAAAAATGTATAAAAATATTTGGAATTTTTTTGCGGAATATAATATTTAATAGAATATGAAGTGCTCCATATTTATTAACCTTAAATTATTGGATTATATGATCACTTTCTTATCAAGTGTTACTGAAATATGTCAAGCTCTCTATTCTTCCCTATTCATATCATATGTTAAAATCTATTAAATTCTTTTATCTTTTTCGAATGTGAAGTGGTTATTATTATTTAGGCATCATATTGATTTTTATGTTTAAATACTAAATCCGGTTAACCTTGAAAGCGTACATCAACAAAAAATTATTGTCAGACGACTAAAAAAATAACTATTATATGTTACTAAGAAAATTCTCTTATAAGAATATTTTAATAGATAATATGTTTGTCTTTTTTTTTTTATATTTTTACTAAACATATATTTACTTATCAAAATATTTAACAAAGTAAGATTGAAATAATATTTAAGTAATAAAAAATCCGAAAAATCTGACAAAAACGAATCAATCCAAACCGATATAGTTGGTTCGGTTCGATTTTTTAAATCGAACCAACCCGGTCCATGTACACCCCAACTCTGAGCAATCTTTCAGGCATAGTAATATGGACTATTCCGTGCCACGAAAATTGTAAATTTCCTTGGAAAGACAGGCTAATTTGGAAGAAAAGAATGAGGAATATGAACCTTTGCATTTTAAGGGGAAAATGGCAAGAGCTTGCTTTGAGCATATTTGAATTTGATACTTCCTTTGTGTTACTTTTTTCATTTGGCAGTGAAGTCAGTTAAGGCACTATATGTAATTAATAAAGAAGTCATACTTCAACATAAAAAAGGTCATTCAAGTCAATATATTTCTCTTTCAAGTTATTTAGGATTTTTTTTTTTAAATTTAGTTATTTAGGATGCAAGCTGCATTGTGCTCTTCTATTACTAGCCAGAATCATTGCCTAGTCGTCTCCTTTAATTACCAAGTCCAGCTACCAATTTAGCATCTAGTATGAGTTGTAAATCATTAGTAGTAGTTCATTTAATAGATGGCCCACTGCACTTTAATGCATAATATACTTATACTAAAAATAGATTTTTATTTTTACTTGATCAAGATAAGACAATTTTTTTTCCCGTTATACCCACAGTATTTTTACTCATTTTAAATCGTTTTCTCAAATCCAATAAAATATGCATCAATTAATATGGGTATCATGATAAATTATGAACTTCATTTATTATTTTTTATTATTTCTTAAGGGGCGCGAAAAGTCAAAATGATGTGCAGTAAAAGGGAACGGGAGGGAATAGTAGAGAAATCAACTATCGTTAGTGGCGTACGTTTCGATACGTACTCAATGGATAGTTGCCCCTAGGGCTGTGCATAATTTGGTAAATACCGAATTACTATATCGAAATCGAAATTTTTGGTATTTGGTATTTTGGTATTTGGTTTACATTTTTAAAAAATTTGGTATTAGGTACGGTATTTGATTTTATTTTTAAAAAAAATACCGAAATACCGATACCGTACCGAAATATATATTGAATTAGTTTTAAATATCTTGTCATCCTTGCAGCCCTCCGTTACCAGAGAGCTTCAAGAGAATGTTTCTAGTTCCATGTTATTTTGTTGAAGCATGTGCGCCGCCTGTTTTTGTCTATGTGGTTAATGGATGTTACTCGAATAGTTTTTGTAAACAACACTTGTGAAAGACTTATTTTGGTCACGTTTTAAGAAGCTTATTGATGTCCGGTATATTACGGAGATGCAAGTTAGAGCTTTAGACCAGACATACTTATATGTTGATGAAGTTTGTAAATATTATTTTAATCTTATGCTCTTGTTTACAGAAGTCACATATATGTTGTGCAGTGTTGTAGCATTCATAAGATTGATTTTATCGCCCCAAAATATAACGTTCTGAAGCTGCTTTAGAGCCAAATAAACCGAAGTTACCATACCGAATAAACCGAAATCGAAAGGCGAAAAATCGAACCATACCGAATCTAATTAGGTACGGTATTAGTATAGCATTTTAGAATATCGAAAATACCGAACTAAAATATCTAAATATCGTACCGTACCAATCGACGAACACCCTAGTTGCCCCTTTCTATCCTTCTCAAAAGGAGAAAATAACGTGAAATGCCACGTACTCTCCAATTTTTCAACGTAGATGAAAATAGGTCTATTTTTCAATGGACAAATTGAATGCTTATGGTTATAATAACTACTATAGCGAGATTATTACGAAGAAATAATCCGGGTCCCGTCAATCATTTGTGGTATATTTCATATATGAACTGGTGGGCATTAACTAACGGGGAGAATATCCAACATGTTTATGCCATTGCTATAAACTGAAAATTGTTGATATTTCATGTAACCAACTTAATGGACCATCGAATATTCATTAAATTGTCTAGGCTAACATATTACTTAGGGAAAACAACTTAAGTAGGCGTTTGGACATAAAAATTGTAATTTAAAAAAATAGTATTTGAAGTTATTTTGAAAAATGGTATTTAGAATTTGAAATTATGTTTGGACATGCATTTCACTTGAAAAAATATTATAATTTTGTGAGTGGGAAAAAAAATTAAAAATTTGAAAAACCAGTTTTCGATTTTTGAAAAACTCATTTTCGAAAAATTTACTAGAACTTGCAAAATTTCATGGACAAACAAATTTTTGGAAAAAAATACCGGAAAAAAGGAATTTTTTTTTATGGACAAGCGGGTCCTAAGTATCATATTTCATATTTCATAGTTGGACATATATACTATATTGCTAGAGTATTACGAATAAATAATCCGGGTCCCATGATCAATCATTTGTGGTATATGTGAACAGCCTCACACAGATTGAACTGGTGGGCATTAACTAACGGGGAGAATATCCAACATGTTTATACCGTTGCTATAAACTGAAAGTTGTTGATATTTCTTGTAACCAACTTAATGGACCATTGAATAGTCATTAAATTGTCTAGGCTAACCTATTTATTACTTAGAAGAGAACAAGTTAAGTAGGCGTTTGGACATAAAAATTGTAATTAAAAAAATAGTATTTGGAGTCAAGTTGAAAAATGGTATTTGAAATTTAAAATTATGTTAGGACATGCATTTCACTTGAAAAAATATTGTAATTTTGTGAGTGAGTAAAAGATATTAAAAGTTTGAAAACTAGTTTTCGATTTTTGAAAAACTCATTTTCGAAAAATTTACAAAAACTTGCAAAATTACATGAACAAACACATTTTTGAAAAAAAAAAATCTGAACAAAAAGGAATTTTTTTTATGGACAAGCGGGTCCTAAGTATCATATTTCATAGTTGCAAGATTTGCTTTCTAGCATGAATAGGTTGAAGGCTTAATAACACCTCCAATTGGAAATCTGGAATTTATCAGACTTCAAAGATTCTAAACTTGTGGTAAAGCGAACCCGTGACCTCCTAATCACATGATAGCAACTTTAACGATTACATGCAACTTCTCTTCAGCTTTAACTTAACCAAATTCTCAAATTTCATATATTAGTCGCTCTTGTATCCCTCTTATATCCAAGTACGTACCCTCGTGATCATCTTATGTATTTTGAGGCTAATTAGTTGGAGAAAAAGAGAGAACCTTATCGCTATATGCAAGGGGGCAAGGGGACACGATCAGAATAAACCCATCACCCTCTAGAACTAAAAGACGTATATTTTGGATCAATGAAAAAGATCGGATAGGAATATATAGGAGATTACAGTAAGGAGATGGTGAGGCAGTGATCGGCATACTGTATCGGTCAAAATTTGGACTGGTCTTAATAACTGCAAATGGACGTGGTCGAGGATCAAGCCGACCACGGCACAAGGTGAGGAGTCACCTTAAGATGGATTAGTG